GAACTTGGGGGGGGGGGTATTCCAGGTATCGTTAACGCTGAGTGCCATCACATTCGGAAAAAGATAGAGTGAAACGTCTCTGAATGCCTTCTAGTTTTTTTTTCCGTCGTCTGAGGGCATAATGCCAGTGAAAACTGAGCAGTAATCTAGGAGGGGTAAAACGTACGTTTTGAATAGTTGTAGTAAATATCGTCGGTTCTTTTCTGTAAATGCAATTGCTATTTGGAATAAACTACCCATGAGTGTGAAAACTCTGCAAAATTTTTCTTTATTTAAGAGAACTATTACTCGATTTTTGCATTCAGAAAAGCTCCCACAAATTTTGGGTTCTGAATCTACTGATCGACTGTACCGTAGCGATTGCGTTTGTGGTCTCTGAACACTATGGCCGGTCTCACCAGCTGTTCCTCAACGCCTCTACTTTGACTATCCCCAACTTCATGAAAGGAATTTGACGTCCGATAATCTCCGATACCGTGCAACCTCCCCCCTTCTTGACGGTCGATATTCTACCACCGCCGACAGTTTTTTTTTTCTCCTGAGCCCTCCAAACCACAAAAACTACCATCAACTATATTTTTATGCCTTAAGCTCAGGAGTTTTTTTTCACTGCTGGTCGGATTTGTGTTTAATCGCTTCCCTTGACAATGCCTGTAAACTGGCATTAAATTAAAATTTATTTATTTATTTATTTAATGTGCATTTCATGTAAAAATGTTACATATGAATCCACACGGGCGAGTGGCCTTCGGTGATATTTTTGGACGTGGGGAGATAAATCAATGGTATTTGTATAGCTGAGACCTAAATCTTGTATCGATTGGGCCTCCGTCATTTCATTATCCTTGGATATTATGGGGGGAAGTTTTTGTGGACCACAGATCAGGAGATGGCCTTTTTCGGGTGAAAAGGGCATCTGCTATTGACTACTCCATTCGTTTACTTTTCTGAGATCAGTTTTAATTGTTCTGTGAATATTGGCAACTGTGTTCCCGTTATATGCATATGCAAGTTTAAGGTCGTCCGCATACAAAAACGTCTTTGCTGCGACAGATATGTACAATAAGTCGTGAATATATATAAGAAATAGAAGGGGGCCTAGGATAGTGCCTTGAAGTACTCCACTGGTAATGGGTGATGGTTCTGAGAATAGTTTTGAATTTGCACTATTTGATATCGGTGCTGAAGATAGGATTTAAGAAAATGTAGAAGGGGAGGCCTAATTCAAAGACTTTTCAGCTTTATCAGTAGTCTTTTATGGGGGACTTTGTCAAAGGCTTTTTTAAGATCGAAGTTTACTGAAGCTACTGTGTTTCCATCATCTCTATTGCTGGAAACGAAATCCAAAAAGTAATGTGGCAGGACTGACATGACTTTTTAGGTAAAAATGCATGTTGAGAGGGGGGGAATGAGGTTGGTGTTTATGAGATGGTCTAGAAATTGGTTGTAGACTATTTTTCGAAGATTTTACCTATAGCCGGTGTTCGGTGAACACAACGATAGGTTTGAATATGAGATCGGTTGCCGCTTTTAAAGATAGGCGTAATTGTCGAGTATTTCCACATGTCCGGAAAAAT